CAGCCCCCTCCCTCTGGCCGGGGACTGGGAAGAGTGGCCAGGGCCAGCCTTTCCTCGGTCCGGCCCGGGGCCCGTTTCCACACGCGGGATCAGAGCCCCCCCCACCTGGGGTCCCAGCCCCTTCCGAGAGAGAGGCCGCCGGCCACGGACAGGGGTCCCTGTTTGACACGCGGTAGAGTCGCAGGGCTCGGGCCCAGGACGCGCCCTCCCACGGCCGGGTCCCACCTGCCGGCGGGGGAATCCCTGGTCCCTCCCCCAGGCCGGCGGCCCCTCCTCCGGAGCCATGGAGCCGGGCCCAGGGGCCCCGGGCTCTTCCGCGGAGCGCCGGGAGGCCGGGCCCGAAGTCTCGGCGCCCGAGGGGCCCGCGCCGAGCGCGTCGCCTTCGTGGGAGGCGGCAGACGACTCGCCGCCCTCGTCCCCGTCCGCCTCGGGGCCCTCCTCGCGGCCGCCGACCTCGAGTTTAGGCGTGGGCAGGTCGCGGCTGCGCCAGGCCGGGTGGGGCGGGATGGCGGCCAGCGCGTTGCTGGAGGCCGGCCTGGCCCGCGTGCTCTTCTACCCGACGCTGCTGTACACGGTGTTCCGCGGGAAAGTGCCGGGCCGGGCGCACCGCGACTGGTACCACCGCATCGACCCCACGGTGCTGCTGGGTGCGCTGCCGCTGCGGAGTATGACGCGCCGGGTGAGCCGCGGCGGGGGAGCCGGGCCGGGAGGCCCGGCCGCGGCGGAACTGGGAGCCGGCGAGAGCCGCCCGCGCCTCGGCGGCCCTTTCTGAGCCCCCTCTTTGCCTCGGCAGCTGGTACAGGACGAGAACGTGCGCGGGGTGATCACCATGAACGAGGAATATGAGACGCGGTTCCTGTGTAACTCCTCAAAGGTGAGGGGCTGGGAGCGGGGCAGGGACAAGGGCAGGGGCAACCGCCAGCCCCGTCCACTACCCTGGCTGGGCCTGGGACGGGGGGGCGGCGGGGGGAAGGTCGGGGGAGAGGGAGCTGCAAGCTGCAGGTGACGGTGCTCCAGGGACACGTGCCCCAGGCTTTTCCGCCTCTTCAAGAGGAGGGTCCGCCCTCTAAGCTTAAATGGCTGTGGCTGGAGGTAGAAACTAATTGTGAAAGGGAAACCGATGTGAAAGGCATTTAAAAGTAGTTGACAGTCTGACTACTCCTTTGTGCACAAATGTATTCTTAATTTCCGTAAATCAAGTCAGTAACCAAATCGAAAGGCAATTTTTCTATGGCTTGCTGATTTCATTCATTCAAACACTTACTGAGCACTATCAAGCACTGCCTTAGGCATTCACGATGAAGACCCTATACTCTCTAAGAAGAAAAGCCACCCTCCGAGTCCCCAAGTATGTTTATCATAAAACAACCCCTTGAAAAATTGCATAGGCTTCATTTGGCATTGATTTTATTCATATGTTAACGATAAAGCGGAACTCCAAAGTATTGTCATAACAGAGTTCAGACCTAAAACAATTTTCATTAAGTTTCAATACTTGTTTGTGTAACTCTCCACACGGTTATTAGACATTGCACTATCTTTATATAAAGATGTTGCCCTGGGATGCCTGAGTGGCTTAGTCGGTTAAGCATGGGACTCTTAATTTGGCTCAGGTCATGATCTTAGGGCTTGAGATCAGCCCCACCTCTGGCTCCCTTTTGGATGTGGAGCCTTCCTAAGATTGTCTCTCTCCCTCCCCTCCCCATGTCAAATAAATAAATAACAATGTTGCCCTATCTTTATCGTGTTGACATCTATCAGCACTACACAATCATCTTTCTTGTTTACTGATACAACCTGATGAAGAGGCTATTATTTCAACCGGTAGGTTTTTTTGTAACCTTAGAAATGGACTCACATTTAAAATATATTCATTAGTGATGACATACATTTTTAGGAAATGGATAACAGTTCCTTGGATTTCCCAGAGTACTTTGCTACAAGGCCTCAGGAATTATTAGCCACAATGTTAAATGTTCTTTAGTGTGGTCAGTCCTGTGGAGTAAATCACAAAAAGTCCTTGGGTCTGAGGCATTGACACTTGTATGATGGAGCTATATTATCCAACTAGCCTAGAGAAAAGAAATCTCCACGGCAGTGGTTCTCACATTTTTATTTTTTTTTAAGATTTTATTTATTTGAGAGAGAGAATGAGAACATGAGAGGGGGGAGGGTCCAAGGGAGAAGCAGACTCACTGCTGAGCAGGGAGCCCGATGCAGGACTCAATCCCAGGACTCCAGGATCATGACCTGAGCCGAAGACAGTTGCTTAACCAACTGAGCCACCCAGGCGCCCATGGTTCTCACATTTTAATAAGCATAAATATTGTCTGGCAGTCTTGTTAAAATAGCAGATACCTAGGTACAACCCCCCAGAAATTCTGACTTAGGAACTTTAGGGTGGGATCCAGGAATCTGAAGAGTTAGCAAACTCCCGAGGTATTTCTGGCATAATTGATGCAAAGGCCCATGCTGCAAAACTGCTGTTTTTTGTTAGTTTCATGAGCAGTATGAAATATTGACCTTCACTCAGTCATAAAGTCTTTGGTTCCAACTAAATAGCTTCACTCATTAGCTGGAGCCTATTTGGAGTCTCTTTTTTTTTTTTTTAAGATTTTACTTTTTAAGTAATCTATACCCACGATGGGACTTGAATTCACAACCAGATCATAAGTCGCATGCTCTACCAACTGAGCCAGACAGGCACCACCTTATCTGGAGTCTTACAGGCAAAAAAGGGGGAAAAGAAAAAAAAAAGCTTGATATGACAGAGGCCTTATTTCTTCTATCACTTATTCTTTTCCTTTTCTGAAGTGAAAATGTACTAACAAAGGTAGGTGTGTTGTTTTAATTTTAAAATGGTAACTATTTTCTGCCGTGTACTCTCTCAAAAAAAAAAAAAGTGGCAAAGAGGGGCTCAGTCGTTAAGCGTCTGCCTTGGGCTCAGGTCATGATCCTAGGGTCCTGAGATTGAGCCCCACATCAGGCTCCCTGCTCCGCAGGAAGCCTGCTTCTCCCTCTCCCACTCCCCCTGCTGGTGTTCTGTCTCACTGTCTCTCTCTGTCAAATAAATTAAAAAATCTTAAAAAAAAAAAAAGTGGCAAAGAAGAGACTTATAGACAGAGAAATAGAAAACTCTTGCAAAATACAGTAGTCCAGCCCTGCAGCTGGGTCACTGCACGGGTGCCAAGATTATGCAAAAACAGTTACACAACTTTTGCAGATGAATTTTATACAGGTAATATTTTGCAGCTAAAGATTCAAATACCTGGGGGCGCCTGGGTGGCTCAGTCGTTGAGCGTCTGCCTTCGGCTCAGGTCGTGATCCCAGGGTCCTGGGATCCACCCCTGCATCAGGCTCCCTGCTCAGCAGGGAGTCTGCTTCTCCCTCACCCTCTGCCTGCCGCTCTCCCTATTTGCGCTTTCTGTCAAATAAATAAATAAAATCTTTAAAAAAAAAAATTCAAATACCCAAGGGGTACTTTAGGAACATTTTAAATCTTGAACATAATTCTAATTCAGTAGCACAGCTGTTGTTTGATGAAAGACCAATCATGCAGGTCAGCCATTTTAAAGACATCTCTCTAAGAAATTTCTTAAGTATATCCACATTGTAGTAAACCCTAAGCTTCCTTGTTATTTTGCTATCTCTCGGGAGCCTGTATTCATACTACTCATATCAGGCTTTTTTCATTCTCTTTTTTATGCTGGTGGACCTGGTTCCAGGAATGGAGGAACGTAGGAGTCGAGCAGCTGCGCCTCAGCACAGTAGACATGACTGGAGTCCCAACCTTGGCTAACCTCCAGAAGGGAGTCCAGTTTGCTCTCAAGTACCAGGCGCTGGGCCAGTCTGTCTACGTGCATTGTAAGGCTGGGCGCTCCAGAAGTGCCACTATGGTGGCAGCATATCTGATTCAGGTAGGAAAGCTCTTTCTGGACTGGTCTATTCATAGCATATTTCTAGAACTTCAGTGGTGTGGTCTACTGGAAGGCCTTGCTGGAAGGAGCCATGTCCCCAATTTCTGGCTGTTGGGAGGTGGAAAGCACCTGAAGTTTGCAGATAGGCTGACCTCTGGCTTTGCCACCTAACAGCCGTGTGACCTTAGGCAAAAGTGGCTTCCCCTCTCTGATCCTCAAACTAAATGTGTCATGAAGCTTGAATGAGAAAGTATGTCAAGCACTGACCTACCTACAACAGGCACTCAAAAAATGAAGTTGCAAAGGATGTTAACACCAGTAAAAGACTAAAATAAAAGCATTTTTTATAAATAGCACGTTAGGAAATCTAGTACTGTAGATAGTAGTGCTGGTCACTTACAGCTCTGTAGGACTCAAGATTTCTTGAAGTATTTCAGAATAAAGTTCCAGACATTAGTTTCTAGAAACAGAGGATCCAATGGAATTTTGTCTATCACTTTATGATTGGCAGGTGTGAGGCTTTTAAGAATATTTATAAGCAAATACTCTCTAGTCCATTACTCCCTGTTACACAACTCCCAACTTGAATCATTTTTTTGTTACCTATCTGGCCCCTGTAGAACATTTACTAAGTTATATGGATAGTTTAAGGAAAAAGGAAATGTAGAGATAACAGGCCTGGCTTTGAGTTACTGTGGACTGGTATGTGATTTAACAGTATTAAAGCTCTGATCATTAGGATTCCATTTACTGGAAATGGGTTCTTAGGAGGGTATTTTGGACTTGGTGAGAATTGATCCAGCTGGGCTTGAAATCTGTAGTTTCTTGGTTTTGTAGAGTTCTAAACCAATAGGTATCCTTAGGATACAAAGATAACTCTCTTACTTAAATCTAAAAAGTGCTGTTTTCCTAGCCATGATGACCAGTTGAATAAAAACATCTACCATATACTATCTCCAGGAAACTTATAACCAACTGCCCAGCTCCCAGAGGACATCTAATAGGCCTATGCAGGCTTGAATTAGGATCTCAGCTTTGCATGTTCAACTTTCTTTTTCCAGGGTTTGGCAGAGCAAGAATTAGGTAGAAAGACTGACTTGTCCGCTCAGCCTATTGCAAAGTATTTTGGGACTGGTTAACTGAGGGGGTTATACTACCCCCCCATTTATAATATATGGGGCATGTTTTTTAATGCCCCCCCCCAAAATGAAGTTTTTAAAATAATGAAATTCTGAGAGTCCATTAGCACATTATTAGGTCAAGGACACCTTAACACCTGCTTTCTTTCTCTGATTTCCCAATCCTGTACTTCAGGTGTACAACTGGAGTCCAGAGGAGGCTATAAGAGCCATCACCAAGATCCGGTCACACATCCACATCAGATCTGGCCAGTTGGAAGTTCTCAAAGAGTTCCACAAGGAGATTACTGCAGGGGCAGCAAAGGATAAGACTGGTCACACATCACAGATGTGAAATACACAGATTAGAAAGAACTCAAGACAACCCTGCTTGCTATAGATTCAAATAGTTTTAACAGGACCAAGGGGGATAAAGCCCAGACTTGACATAGCAGAAATGTGCTAAGTAATGGATAATTTTGCTCCTTTTGTCTTGTTTCACTTTCCTGAAGTAACACTGTTGTATGCCTGGAGAGATTTAGTGTGGCTTCAATTCACTGGCTATGGGGATATGGGATGAGGGTCCTTGTTTTCTCGAAGAGGGGTCAAAGAAATCTATTGTGTATCTAACGCTGTGCCCAGTGATATTTAGCACGACTCAAAAACATTTAACACTGGGAAAAGAGGAGAAATACTCAGCTCAGACTCTTTGCCACTGTCAGACCCCAATTCATGGGCCCCATGGGGCTCTCCTCCCCTTTTGGCGCAGTGATCCTGTATGTAGAAAAGGAAGTACAGGATCCAGTCAGTATTGTGGCACATATGTAATCCATTTACCTTAGGGAATCACTCCTTCAGAATTCAAAACAGACACACATATCCCTTCCAAAACTTTTATTTGTATGAACAGTTCCTAGCTCTTGGCTTACCTTAGTGCTTTTAAAAGAGTAAAGACCTTATATATTTAAATTTGAAAAAAATTTCTGCTATTAATCAGAAATAATACTTTCTACTTCTTTCTGGATTACTCCTTGGAGTAAGCCCGAAATAAAACCAAACTGTTGGGCGCCTGGGATCAAGTCCTGCATCAGGCTCCCTGCTCTTTGGGGAGTCTGCTTCTCCCTCTGCCCCTCCCCCCACTCGTTCTCTCTCTCAAATAAATCTTAACCCCCCCCCAAAAAAAACCCAACAAAGTGTTCACTGGGTATCTAACCCAAAGATACAAATGTAGTGATCCGAAGGGGTATGTGCACCCCAATGTTTATAGCACCAATGTCCGCAATAGCCAAACTATGGAAAGAGCCCAGATGTCCATCGACTGATGAATTAATGAAGATGTGGTATATACACACACACACACACACACACACACAATGGAATATTACACAGCCATCAAAAAATGAAATCTTGCCATTTGCAACGATGTGGGTAGAACTAGAGAGTATTATGCTAAGTGAAATAAGTCAATCAGAGAAAGACAATTATCATATGATCTCAATGATATGCAGAATTTAAGAAATAAGGCAGAGGATCATAGGGGAAGAGAGGAAAAAATGAAACAAGACGAAAACAGGGAGACAAACCATAAGAGACTCTTAATCTTAGGAAACAAACAGGCTTGCTGGAGGGGAGGGGGTGAGGGGATGGGGTGGCTGCGTGATGGACACTGGGGAGGGTATGTGTTGTGGTGAGCACTGGGCGTTGTGTAAAACTGATGAATCACAGAGCTGTATCCCTGAAACAAAAAATACAGTCTAAAGAAAAATTAAAAATAAATAAATAAATAGCATGTATACTGAGGGAAAAAAGAAAAAAAAACAACACAAAAAACCCAAACCAACAAACAAAAAAATCCCCAGTGTTCATTTCCTGACAGGTGAGAAAACACAAGATGCAGTGTCCTGAATTCTAGAGTTGGTGCTTGCTGGTGAAGGACACCTTCAGCTTAGACCATTCTTCCAACCAAAGCCTGAAGGAAAACTCTAACACCTAATTCTTTGTGGGAAAATTACCAACTAGCCACTTTGCAGGTTATAAAAAAAAGGAAGATGGGGGCATCTTTCCTTCTGTCATGGATCAGAGGTGCCTCTACTTAACATTGATCAGGGAATAGGTGGCTGTGCCTACGGTCTGAGAACTGGCTTACTCAGAGCCATCTGCAGTGAGGCACAGGATTACCAGGGGACGGCAGAGGGCCGGCTGGCCTACTCTTGGAGCAGCCAGCTGAGCAGCATCGGTCTAAAAAGCCCCAAAGGGAACACCCCTGTGGGTTCAGGAAGGACTGAGGTGCTGCCCTTTCTAACATGTGCCAAAAAAATAACATAGTACTCTGATCAGGGCCCCAGGGACTTTGAATTTGGATGGATAGGTGCCAGAAAATGGGAGGGCAGAAGTCAGCTGCTCTTCCCCCCACAGCCTTAGGCCAACACAAACTGCACATTAGTAAGTAGCACCTTAATGCCTCTGGTGACAGTTACAGCTGAAGTGGCAGGGTCAAGCTTGTAGGTGTTGGCATCCCCCTTTTTATATCGGTCCCGAAAAACATAGATGCTCCCATTACAGCTGGCGATCTTCCAGAGGGATGGGGCAGAGCTCCAGGCCTCAGGAAGGCAAAGTCGGGTAAAGCTGTCTAGCAGGGGATTGTAGCACACCAGGGAGTCCCCTTCAGCCACGATGAACACCAGATCCTTATGCACAGCTGCGTGCATGTGACCTGCGAAGGGCAGAACATAGGGCTTCACATGGCATTTGTCTGTCTCTGTGTCAAAACACTGGATGAGTCGGGAGGGTTTGGTAAAGAAGTCCAGGTCATTCTCCTCCCCGCCCAGTAAGTAGATGATCCCGTTAAGGTTGGCACCAGCGGCCCCTGACACAGCCACCTCTAGCTGGGTTGTCTCTGTCCAGACATTATCACCTACCCGATAATAGATAACTGCATTGGAGAGGGTATCCTGCAGTGTCTTGCCACCCAGTGAATATATAGCATCTTTCCCGGGCACAGACACCAGGGTGTGCTGGAGCCGGTCCCGGGGCAAAGGTGCACACCATTCCCAGTCCACAGTGGCATTGTTGCACTTCCACATGCGCCGTGGGATGGACCCTCCCACCACGTATAAGTCTCCACCATGCTTACAGGCTGCAGTGATCTGGTGGCACAAGCTGTTTTGGCCACTTACACTGATGGAGTCATCTTCTGCACAGTGTAAGGACACAGCCAACGAGTGGGTACGAGATGACTCTTTCCCGATCAGGTAAATGTGCACATTCTCCCCGATCTCCTATTGGCAAAATTAAAATCATAGATGACATCTATCAGTTCTAGGCTAAGGCTCAGCTGAGAAGCCTACCCTTAAGGTTCTGGACCGCACACTTGTATCCTGCTCTAAACCTACTTCCCTTGAGTTACTGTGTGCCATTCTGACTGTCCTCCAATCATTTTCTTTCAGGCATTTTATGCTGGGGCAGAGAATCTGTTGCTCTCATCCTGAGCTGGTGCTTTAGAAAAAGTGCTTAGGATTAGTGCAATGGTAAAAGTAGTTCTCTCAAGGAACTTTGTGGAGCTCAGAGGCTGGTGTCTGGGCTCATGCACACATCCTCTTCCCCGGTTCTTAACTTTGAGCCAGAGATGACTCATTAACCAGCTAACAATGAGGCCAGACCAATAGCTGGAATGCACAGATATTATGGTGTCCCAACCCTAAAGAGAAACCTGCCTTACCTTCAAGCTAGTTCTCAGTGACTCTGCAAAAGCCTCTCTTTCTTCTTTATTGAAATTGATCCAGGCTTCTATTGCCTCTGTTGGGTTCTGGGAACATGGAACTCCATCTGTGAGAATCAGAGGAAAGACAGTCGATGGCAATCCAACAATCCAAAAGGGAAATTTAAAGCCACTGTAAATCACTTTGTTGTGATCACTTTGTGAATCACTTTGTTGGACTATCACCGTGTGTGTGTGTGTGTGTAAGAAATTAACCTAAATTGCATACCTCACTTGCAGGGTCACAATTGTTTTTTGTTTGTTTCCTTTTTAAAGATTTATTTACTGGGCACCTGTGTGATTCAGTTGGTTTAGCATCTCACTCTTGGTCTGGGCTCAGGTCATGATCTCATGGTCATGGGATCAAGCCCCATATGGGGCTCTCTGCTCAGTGCATAGTCTGCTTCAGATTCTTTCTCCCTCTCCCTCTGCCCTTCCCACTTGCACCCTCACACAATGGCACTCTCTTTCTAAAAGAAATAAAATCTTTAAAAATTTTTATTTATTTATTTGAGAGAGAGAGCACGCCTGAGCGGGGGTGGGGGGCAAAGGGAGAGGGAGAGAGAATCTCAAGCAGACTCTTTGCTGAGTGCAGAGCCCCACACTAGGCTTGATCCCACAACACAAAGACCAGGACCTGAGCTGAATCCAAGAGAACAAGGCTCACCGACTGAGTCACCCAGGCGCCCCCAGGGTCAGGATTGTTACGTAAAGTGGGCCCATCACTTAAAATGTTTGTTATGTAAATATCTTGACTCATCATCAATTTACTTAGGTAACCAGTCCCACAGGTACAGGCAAAGTGCAGGATAGATGAGAACATTTATACACAAAACAGCTCCTCACTACCTTTTGGTTTTATTTTTTTTTAATTCAATACTTGTATATAGTTGACCCTTAAAAAACAGGGGTTTGAAATGTGTGGGTACACTTATATGTGGATTTTTTTCAATAAATGTAGTACAGTATTGCAAATGTATTTTCTCTTCCTTATGATTTTCCTAATAACATTTTCTTTTCTCTAGTTTCATTAATTGATTGCTTATGTTATTGATAATGCTTCCCGTCAATAGCAGGGTATTTGTGAAGTTTTGGGGGGAGTCAGAATTATACATGGATTTTGACTGTGCAGAGGTCGCAGTCCTCATCCCTACATTGTTCAGGGGTTAACTGTATATCGCAAAGTACTGCTTTTATTTTCCAGGGTTCTTGCTCTGGAAAGGACTGCCTAGGACAGCAGCTAAATCTCACCTCAGTCTCCCAAAGGGATCTAAATTCTTACCAGGAATAATAATGTAAATTAATACCAGGAAGCCTGAAGATTCCTTTCTCCTGAACTAGAAGCTCCACTAAACATCATACCCAAGTAGTTGAGTATGGTGTGCCCCCTCCCTCAACTTACCCGAGATGATATCAGTTAGTAGATGGTGGGGCAGGTGGAGAAATTCCTCTGTGCTCTGCAGCTGGGCCAGGTGGGCCTTGGCACAGTGTTTGGCAGCAGTGTAGAGCTCTGGATCACTGTGCCTATCTGCCAGCCACATCACCTGAAGGCAGTTCCCCACCTGCACTGTGCGGGCCAAAAACCGAGAACATTCCTCAAAGAGAGATGTCAGCTGATACATGTCTGACACCTCATAAATTTCCTGCAGCTCTTCAGCTCGAAGTTTCACGGTCCCATGGTAGATATAATCAACCAAGAGCTGGAAAACAGATTCGCTGACATCCTGCAGTACAATCACTCGGTTGTGAGCCTCCTTCAGGTTGGAAGTGAACATG